TCGACTTCAAGAAGGTTTACAAAAGGCTTCAGATTGACATAGTTGCCAAGGATCCGCAGATGGCCAAGAGATTGCTCCTGGGTTTGCACGAGCGTTTCTACCACTGCCCGATCGGCGATTTTAAAAATATGTTGCTGCGTGCTGGCCTGTCGTCCGACATCCTTCCGTTGGCTGAAGAAGCTGTTATGAGCTGCAGCATCTGTAGGAAGTACGTCCGCATGCCCAACCGTCCGCAGGTCAAGATTGGATCTCACGCTGGAACTTTCAATCAACGGGTTCAGCTTGACCTCTTCCAGTACCAGGAAGTTTGGATCCTCCTGCTCGTGGACGAGGCAACGCGGTTCAAGGTGGCCACGGATGTGGAGAGCCGGGAGCATGGCCACCTGCTTCCCAAGATGCTAGATGTATGGTTCGTGGTGCTCGGACCTCCTCATCAACTTGTGCTGGACCAAGAGTCAAGCCTCATGAGTCACGCTGCAGGTCGAGAACTGGAGAGGTTTTCGATCGAGCGAATTCCTAAAGGGACGACTTCAGGCTCGGCCGGCAAGCAACATACCGGAACGGATTAGTGGAAAGGCACATTGGATTGGTGGAAATCACTATGCTCAAGTTGGCTGCAGAACTTGACCGCCAGGGGCTTCGTCTGACACCAGGTGAGCTTGCCAAGGAGGCCGCGGTGTCGCACAACCAAAGCCTCAACTATAACGGGGCCACGCCATCCATGGCTGTCTTCGGCATCCTCCCTCGTCCGTTTTACCAGGACGATTACAACAACATCACTGCCGTGGCTGGTGCTCTCCAAACGGACATCACCCCGTTCGAGAAGGCTCTTCGAATAAGGCAGCTCTCATTGTCCATGGTTCAGCGAGCTGTGGCGGAAGATCGGATTGCTCGAGCCGGCCGCACCAGGCCACACAAGCTGGACACCAACATCCCGGTCCCGGGCACAACAACCATCGACTTCTACCGAGAGATTCAGGGTGACGTGGGCTGGCGCGGACCTGCAACGCTGCTTCGTTTGGACAAGGACGAAGGCACGGCAATCCTCACGTACCAAGGACGACCATACCTGGTGAGTCTTCGGCATATCAGGCCACACACACGCCGGGAGTGTTCTTGGTCATGGACAGCCAACAAT